CGAGCAGGTGCGGCCGGGCCCGTCTTGGGGCATCAGCCGCCCCACCAAACACCATCTTGGCTCGATGCGCAAGACCTCCTGCTTTCCAGGCCTGGCCCCGGGTAGCCGAGTGCTTGCAGCACCTCACAGAGTCATGGCAGAGAAGCGGGGCTGAGCCAGATCCCCGTGGTCACACCTGCTCCAGCCTTGGCCTGGGGCAGCCTCAGCCCCATCTATGCCACCCCCTACACACCCATAGCTCAACCTCTCAGCAAAGGGAAGACAACACCAGGCATCACACACAAACCTGCCACAGGTCAAGCAGGGGAACTGCAGCAGCCAATGTCCTACTGCAGTAAAAGGTTATTCATGTGCGCTCTAAAGATCCCAGGTAGAGGCTGCATCACTGCTACAAAGGAAGGTAACAATCTCCCAGTCTCCTAGCAGAAAGGCAGGGATAAGGCAATCGGCAAAGCCCAGAAGCCAGGGAAATTCTTACAACAGAACGTAGGCATACATACACCTCAGTCATCCCCTACCAGTCATTGTCCCAGCCTCTTTTTGAGGTTGGTGAGAGATGGGCACCTACTTTTCTCCATGACCTGTATCACTGGAGGCAGCTGCATTCCAGACCCCATAGATAAGAGTCCATCAGGTGTCCTACACCAGAGCCATCCCTGCTAGGCCAGGGGGCAGTGGCCAGGGAGGCAGGTCCAGATCAAAGGGCAGCTGAAGGCCTCATGCATGCCTGTGTCCTTGGCTCCAGGTCAACGAGAGAGTGTTGAACAGACTCCACCATGTGCAGAAGATAACACGGCGCCTCAAGCAGGAGAGGAGGTGAGGGTGCAGCCAGCCCCCAGCTTCAGAGGCAGGTCCCTCCCTGCCTGTGCCCACTCCTGTGGGGTCTGCATGGTGCCAGCAAAGGCCTGCGACAGCTGCAGCTAATGGGGCACACACTGGTATCCTTTTTGCTAACTGCTAGTTCTTTGACCTGTTTGTGGACGTGCGCACTTAGTGACTCAGGACCTAGGCTGTGCCTAGCCCAACAGGGCCCTGATTTCTGCCAGTCTGTGTCCAAACAGTGGCCACTGCAGCAAGGCCCTGGTGTTGATGACTCTCACAACTGCTCTACATTCCCTGCAGGTTCCTCATGAAAATCCTGGATTCTTATGGAGATGACTACAGACAGAGCCAGCTCACCATCGTCCTCGAGGTAGGTGATGCCTTTGCCCACGGTGTGGGGATGGGGAGGGCTCTGGGAGTTGCTTCATCCCCAGGCATCATGTGTGATTGTTGGCTTTGTGCATTATCATCCCATCACTGGAAGGAAAGCTCTCCCTCCCTCTTACTTCAAACAGCCCCCCTTTCTCTGCACCCAGGATGAAGGCAGCCACAGCACAGATGTGCCAACCCCTGGAAACACAGAGAATGAGCCTCCTGAAAAAGAGACCCTCCAGCGATTTCCCGGCCCCCCACCTACTGGCTTGGAGCCTGAAAGCCCCTCACCTGCAGAGGCCCCCAGCGGGAAGAAGCGGCGGCGACATGGCCGTGAGGACAAGGAGCAAAGGGGCCGGCGGACAGCCCCCTCCCTCCTCACCATGGATGACTTTCCTGTCCAGGTACTGGCCTGGTTCACTGCCTTTGTTCCCACAGTTGAATCCTGCTGCTGGGGCATAAGGGGTGTAGCAGAGAATGGCCTGTTGGGAGGCAGCTAAGTGGACCTGTGGGTTTGTCAGGTCTTATTGTGGGGGGATATGGTGCTGGATGGGCCCACAGAGGCTACTCCTTTGAAACACATCTCCCTCTTCAAGGTCAAAGCAGAGGATGACTTTCCATGCAGCCAAGATGATGTCCTTGCCCCCAGCTGGAACCAGCCCAGCCCTCCCAACAAAATGCTTCACTATCCCAAGTTCTCCAGCCCTGGGGGCTGCTCTGATTTTGACTGAGTCTTCCTGGAAGTGACTAGACTGTTGGCATCACCCTGTGGAGGACTAAAGGAGGGTTAGTGCATGGAGCTGGCATCCCTTCCTACAAGCCTGGATATTAACTCCTCCTGTACCAGTAACTCTGCTTTGATTGAGAGTTAAGGGATAGGAAGTGAGCAACAGACTGTGCAGCCAGCTGGGAGAAGGTGGGGACAGCTCATAGATCAGTCACTACCTGGACTCAGAGATTCTGACCCTGCAGTTACTTCAGGCATAGAAGCCTGTGGCAGAAGGTGGTGGTGTCTGTTCAATCCCAGTACAATAAAGAGATGCTATGACTGGACAATGGCTTAAAAGCATGTAATGCTCCCTCCAATCTAGCTCATTATAGTAGGCTTTAATCCACCACTGCCTTCCCCAAGCTGGAAGTCCAGCTGGACTTGCCCTAAAGAGGAATAGTGTGGTCTTGTTTCAGGACACAGGACATTTGGTTGGAGTCAGGCTTCTAGTATTCCCACTTGCTCAAGGGAAGGGAAAGAAAGACAGTAGTAAGAGCAGGGACCGGGCTACTGAAAGCTGGGTTACCTGTGTTTTCTCCCCAGCTCACAAGTGACAAGTGGGAACTAGGAGTCAGGACTCCTTGGCTCTATGCATGGCTCTAGGGTCTCTCTGGTCCTTTTGTTTTGGTGTGGCAGCTCTGTGCATGATGGGACTCTTGTTTAAGACTGAAGCCCTCCTGTGGCACCACTGTCTTTGGAGATGGGACAGGAAGAGGGAAAGGAGAAGAATGGAAGCCAGCCAAGCTGGGTGCTAGTCCCAGCTCCCTGCAGGGATAAAACCGCAGTAAAAATCCACATAGAGAAGGTGGACTGGAAGGGACCTCCAGAGGTAGTCTAGGCCAGTGTTTCTCAACCAGTGGGCTATGGCCCAAAAGTGGGTCACATGAGTATATGAAAGGGTTGCAAACAAACTAAAAATGGATCAACAAACAAAAAAAAAAAAATGGAGAAAAATGTGGGAAACTGGCTTTTCCCTTGCAGGCTGGCAGACTTCCAGCCTGCAAGGGGCTGCCTGGGCCCCTTTCCCCACCCCACCTCACACACCCACCTTCTTTCCCACACACTGGGGAGCAGGGGGCAGTGGGTCAGGAGTGAGGGGGAACTGGATCTGGACTGGCCACTGATATTTACAAATTGGTCCTGGTACAAAAAAGGTTGAGAACCAGTGATCTAGGCTATCCCCCTACCTGAAGCAGGATCATCCCTATCCAAACCATCCTGTACAAATGCATTGTTGAACCTCTTAACAAAGCTGCGTGTCAGGGCTGACTGCAACCACAAGATGTAACACCCTAGTCCAATGGTGCTCAACCTTCTAGCCCCACAGGTCAGATGAGTAACTTGGAGGGCCAGATAGAGAGCTACCTCACAAGCTGTGATTGAGCCCAGTGCTGCCGCCACCTGCCCTGCACACTAGGATCAGGCCCTGGCACCATCCTCTCCTACTGGGATTAGGCTCCAGCAGCCTGGTGTCACCCCTCCCACATTCTGGGATTGGGCTACAGGGACCCAGTACTACCCCCACCCACTGTTATATGATGGGATTGGGCCATGGGAGCCCAGCAATGTCCCCTCCCACCCCCAGCACATAGGGTCTAAGTCCCCACAGATCTGCAAATTTGGCAACAGGGGAGTGATGCCATCACTCCCCTGCCACCAAATTTCCAGACCCCTTGGGAGCCCTGTGGGTTGGCTCTGGCCCATGGGCTCAGCACCCTTACCCAAATCTAAAATCAAGGGGACCTGATTTTAACCTCTGCTGCTGTAGAGGTTGTAGGAAGAATGCCACAGCACCAGCTGCAGAAGACAACAAGGGGCTGCTACACTCTCCCTTTACTCACACAGCACATGCTCTTCCTGGAAGTCAAATATTTATTACATCAGTGAACAAGGACAAACCAAACACTTAACCATTCATGACCAGCAAGGGGGCAGCAGACAGCACTGACGCGATGCTCTGGCTGTACAACCAACTTCACCATGGGGGCATCAACTCGCCCTTACTGGGCACCTCACATATTCTTCAGCCACTCCAAGCTGGGCCCTTCCTTGTCACAGGGGTGAGAGGGGATGTCTGGCATGTTCCCATCATCTCGTACTGGCACTGAGGACCAAAGGAGCAAGCAGGGGAAGCTGAGAATAGGGGCAGGATTTGGGAGAGGCTGGGAGGGAGAGGGGGACAAAAGCAGCCTGCTTGAATGCACGGCTGCAGGATTTAAGGGGTAGCAACCCTGATGAGTCAGCCCTAGGGCTCAAAGGGTACTTGCCCCAGCAGTCAGTGCTGTGCCCCTGCCCTAACACCTCAGGGGCAGGAGACTGTCTGCCCTGCAACTAGGATTGGCCCAGCTCACCAGGCCTGAGAGGCTCTGTACTATGAAGGGAAGGGACCTCACTACCCAGTATCCTTCCCTTGATGCTCCCCCATTGCACTACATTGCAGGAAGGTGTGTTTGTGGGGGGAGGGAGCATATGCTTGCAGCTGTATGCAAGAGTGTAAGGGGGGGGAGGGCAAATCAGTAGGTGGTCGGTCACCCCAGCAGTCAGTACTGACCCCAATACCCAGCACTAGGGGTGCTGTACTGGATGCGGGAGGCTGTGGGGGGTGGGAATGGGACAGGACTGAAGGGGGTACTTCTCACTGGCAAATCAGCCACACAGCAAGGGGGTAATGGCTGGGCTTGGCTGGACTTAGGCAACATCAAGATTTCTGGGCTCCTGAGGTCATTTCTGCCCATGGCATCAGCCATTGAGCAGGAGCTACTCAGACTGTCCCAGGGGCAGAAGACAGCTGGGTGAGGCAACCATGAGGTTGGGAAGGACTCGGCCAGCAAGGGGGCAAGACAGACCCAAGGCCCCACAGAAGAAACACCCCCAGCCCCCCACAAACCTTTCCACAGGGGCCCCAGGTCCCCTTACCTGGATAGACATAGGGTGTGGCTCTGTTGGCCATCTCTGTGTACTTGATGTAGGGGCTGACAAAGGGCAGCACAATAGCTAGAAAATAAAAACCCCAGGACTGTGCTGAGACCTGGTCTCCCACCCAGCCACTCTCACCCCTCTTTTCCAACTCCAGGCACCCCAGTAGGTTCACAGCCCAGGGGAGGGGGGAGAAGGTGCCAGCCCTCAGCTTCCCCTCGGGTCTCAGGCACATGAAGGACTGGAGCCACCCCTGGGGCCGCCTCTCATCATAGGCCGGCCGGTGCCCGCGGTCAGCCCTGGCAGAGTCAGGCAGGCAGAGCGCCGCCGCCCGGAGAGGGCAGCGCGGTGGGGGCGGCGCTGGGAGAACCCGGGCGCCCTGCACGCATTCCGACTGCGACCGGGGCCGGGCCGAGTCTCTCCGGGAGGCCAGGGAGCGCGGGTCCTCGCACGCCCGGCCCAGCCCGGCCCCGCCCGCGCCGCTCACCCACGCTGCTGATGCCGGGGGGGACGACGAGGACGGGCTGCTTGGCCCACGCGATCTTCAGGAAGGAGACGATCTCTGCAGGCAGAGCGCAAAGGGTTAAGGCGGTCCCGGGAACGTCTGAACGCGCAGGCGCCCCGGCCCCGCACCCTCCCGCTCCCGGACACGCACTATCCAGCACCGCCATCTCGCCGGCCAGGCCCGGCGCCCTAACGCCCTTGGTCAAGCCGCTTGGAGGCAGGGCCTGGAGACAAGCCCCGCCCCGCCAGGCCCCGCCCACCGCGCGGCGTCATGGGAGTTCCCTCCTAGCCCGGGGAGGGGGCGGGGCGAAGGTTGCCACGGCAACGGGGTCGCCCCGCCTCCGCCCGGGGGCACGGCCCCTCCGCCGGCTCCCGTGAGTCAGCGCAGCGGGGATTTCAGTGCCGGGGCCGTCCCGGGGTTCCCCGTGCGCCCGGCCCGGACGCCTGGGCTCTCTTCCAGCCCCGGCCCCGGCTGGCCGCGGGGCACCGGCGGCCTCGGCCTCCAGAGCTGGGTGCGGGGCCCGGGGCCATGCGGTGTCGGCCGCAGCTGCGAGGCCCAGTGTGACGAGACACATGCCCGGCTCCGTGCCTCAGTTTCCCCCTCTCCAGGCAGGGCGACCCGTCCTTTGCCAGCGGGGTCTGGGGACCCCCTGGGCCGCGGGGCTGAAAGGGACCTCAGAGGTCGCCCAGCCCAAACCTCCGCCCGAGGCAGGACGGTCCCTGTGCCAGGCCTCCCGTGCAGAGCCAGCGTCCAGCCTCTCACCCTGATGCGACCCCAGACCTAACACCAGCACCTGCCATGGCCTCGCCCTCATGTCTGCGCTGCCCCTGGCAGGGCAGGGTCCTGATCCCAGTAGGATCTGTGCAGGACCCCTGGGTTCTCTTCCAGCCCCTGCCATCCGGCTCCGCAGCCACAACTGCCCTCCCAGAGAGCCCAGGTGGCCAGGCATCCCCTGTTCTAGCCCACCAGCTCCTGCCACGGCTGACCGTAGGGCACAGCACATGCCAGGCAGTCTCATTGAGGTCTGGGTGCAGGACTCGGAGACCATCAAGTCCTGGCTGCAGCCCCTAGGCCTCATGTAATGATGAGACTGGTTCCCTCCATGCCTCAGTTTTTCCCCCCTCAGGCAGGACAATCCATCCTTGCCAGCTGAGCCTGGGAGATTGAGGCTACAGGGACCCTCTGAGAATTAAAAAGTGGTGGAAGAAGGGGCTTCCATTGATCACCCAGTCCAGCGCCTGCCTGAGGCAGGATGGCCCCTACCTCAGCCATCCTGTACAAACCCATTGTCCAACCTCTCAGCAAAGCCACCCAATCCACCCTGGCACAACACAAGTCCTGACACCTCAGGGGCCCAATTTCAGTCAGGATCTGTGCAGCCCCAGACATGAGGGCCCTGATCTTAACGCCACTGCCACTGACAGCAGTGTGGCCTCCCTTCCCTCGCAGCCCCTGCACTGGGTCAGTTTGCAGCCACCCCACTTCCCCTGTTAGATGGGGAAGTACAGGTTTTCCATGGAGGATGATGGCTCATTTCCTGGAGCCGGGTGCAGACAGCGTCCCGGGTGCTGCAGAGCCATCCTACCCCTCCAGTTCCGCTTTGCTGGCTTCTGTTGCCCACCATGCCGCTAACACTGCCTCTCCTGCTCTTGACTGTCTGTGAGTTCTCTGAGTCCCTGACTCATGGCTGAAAAGCGGGTTAGAGCAGGGAAGCCAGGACTCCTGGGTTTTATCCCAGCTTGGGGAGGGGAGTGGAGTGTGGTGGGCTAGAGTTGAGAGACAAGCAAGGGTAAGGGAGCTGAAAGCCAGCATGCCTGGGTGCTATCCCTACTCTGAATTCAGAGGAGTTAAAACAGGGGTGGGGCTGGGAGCTAGGACTCCT